CATATGGTAGAATACAGAAACACTTACTCAGACATATGGTAGAATACAGAAACACTTACTCAGACATATGGTAGAATACAGAAACACTTACTCAGACATATGGTAGAATACAGAAACACTTATTCAGACATATGGTAGAATACAGAAACACTTACTCAGACATATGGTAGAATACAGAAACACTTACTCAGACATATGGTAGAATACAGAAACACTTACTCAGACATGTGGTTGAATACAGAAACACTTACTCAGACATGTGGTTGAATACATAAACACTTACTCAGACATGTGGTTGAATACATAAACACTTACTCAGACATGTGGTTGAATACATAAACACTTACTCAGACATGTGGTTGAATACATAAACACTTACTCAGACATGTGGTAGAATACATAAACACTTACTCAGACATGTGGTAGAATACATAAACACTTACTCAGACATGTGGTAGAATACATAAACACTTACTCAGACATGTGGTAGAATACATAAACACTTACTCAGACATGTGGTAGAATACATAAACACTTACTCAGACATATGGTAGAATACATAAACACTTACTCAGACATATGGTAGAATACAGAAACTTGTTACTTCTTTTATTGCAGCCTATTAATGATCTTGTTCTTTTTAACTTTAGAGAACATTGGCTTACAAAAAGCAAACAGACTTCTGGGAAACTGAAGGTTTCTCCTGAAGAAGTAAGAGTTTGTTTTATGAATCATTTTTGCTACAGATAATAGTATGTGAAAACGTTATCTGATTGATTATATAAACTAATTGTGTACTTACAGAAATGTATTTTCATCTTCAAAGCATAATTAAGAATTGTTTCCGTGATCCCACTATCTCCTGTGGTTTAACTAATAATCCTCTTTTCATATTGGTTAGAAAGTAGTCTTTGGGGTTTCTTTAAGAAAATAATGTTTATTACATTTATAAAAGAAGAACTTAATGATACAGAAACACTTACAAGAAGGTCAGTACATTTTACTCAGAAATATTTTCCATTTTCATCATAATTCAAGGCTAAAAAATTTCATCTGTAACTTCAGTTTTTCATAATTTATACTCGTAAACGGACATGCAACAAATATTGAAGGATGACTGAATAACACTTGTTTATGTAAGTTGCCTTTCCTCACCTTTATTTCTGGCAGAACGATGGATGAAATCATACTGACCTTCACTTTTCCTTCTGATTTTATGATTGGTCAAAACAGGGATTCTTAGCTTCTGAAATGGGCGGCTAAACCTAACTTGTTGCTAGGTGGAAGTGCAAACAAAATCTACATATGTATACAAACAGTACCATACTAACATTATTAAGGGTAAGGCTGGTCACCCCTATACCTACTCCTCTCATTCCTGAAAATGTTTTTGTGTTATATTAGTTTGCATGAAAGTTATGGAAATGTTCTTCTGTAACAAGACATAAGCTAAGCCTTATTAGGTTTAGAGAGTACTGTAAGTCACTGCAAAATATTCTTATGATTAATGTTTTTATTTATTTAATATTGCTTAGTTTATTGTATTCAAACAACGTTGATAAGTAAAATAACTTATTATATATTGAAAATAAACTATATCTGTTAGATATAAATTGATCTTGGTGAAGAAAATTGTTAGCAAATGTTACCTTGCCTGACCTAACATCACTTTGGCAGGTTAGATCACAAATCACACAAATATTTGTTAGCTTTTGTGATGTTTTTTTTTAAAGATTTATTATTTCATAAGGTTTATAGCCAGAAGTGGAGACTATGGCAATTAACAAAATAAAGTATCAAAATATTTGTGAATATCAATGAAATTGAAACTGATTGTATATATAAAATAGAACTTTCTGATAAATAATATAAAAAAAATTTGAGTTTAAGACAAAAGAAGTATTTTCAGTGTTTTTCTTAAAACAGTGTCTCGCAACAAAATGTTCAGACTTTTACTACATAAAAGAGTATAGAAAACTAAATCAAACTATATGAATATTTTTAAAGAAGAAACTAGGCACTATTTAGTAAGTTTCATGTCATTTGATAATGTACTTCCACTGTGAGAAGGAAGAATTCAAGAGATAATGGTGACAGCTGGCCAGTCCAAAGAAGATTAATTAGTCCAGCAACCATGGATGGTTGTCTGTTTCATATATTACTAGTCCAAAAGTTCAAAATGACCAGTGAAAAGGAGTCAAGTTATATTACAGTCTTGTTGAAATAGAATTGTTCTTCTGTTGTTACTTTCTGTCTGTTGCAGCAGTACATATACAGAAGAGGGGGGGGGGGAGAAACAAAAAGAAACGTTTTAGATTACTAAGTTTTCACTCTTTTATATAGTATTAATTTTCGTTAACTTTGAGTAGTTGTTTAATATACATAAATAATGATTATGATATAAAAACTAGGTAAGCATAGTGCTGTTATCATTTAGTGCTAAGTAAAATGTTTTTTTTTAAATGCAACTATTAACATAAAATAATTTTGACTCTTTCATCTGTGTTGTCCCCCAGTGGGACAGCGGTAAGTATGGAATTACAACACTGCAATCAGGGGTTCGATTCCCCTTGGTGGACACAGCAGATAGCCTGACGTGGCTCTGCTAAAGAAAAATGCACACACACACACACTCATCTGTGTTGAATTGTGCTTTCTTGGGATAAAGCCTTTTGAAACCTCCATGTGGAAATTAATTGATTATTTTTGCTTGGCATTAATAGTTTCTTGGAGTTGTCAATGAAACATAGAATCTGTATATGTAGAACTTTAATTTTAACTTTTAGTTAAGCGTACATCAATATTCTTTATCAGTAAATGATTTTGATGTAGTTACATGCCACATACTTGGCTCTAGAAATCTTCTTAAAATTATTTGAAACTTTTTAAAATGTGATTTATAAAAACTGCTTGAATCGTTTAAATACTTTCAAGTATGTAAGTTACTCTTAAAAAAGTTTTATGGATAAAAGTTTTAGCGTGTTTTACAAGATAAATAAGGGGTTATTGAAAGACTGTGAAGAGGATTTCT